GGGTTTGGAATTCCCAGTTTGGGTTTGGAATTCCCAGTTTGGATCAGAATTCCCAGTTTGGATCAGAATTCCCAGTTTGGATCAGAATTCCCGGTTTTCCCTCGGTGAATTCCCAGTTTGGCTCAGAATTCCCAGTTTGGATCAGAATTCCCGGTTTTCCCTCGGTGAATTCCCAGTTTGGCTCAGAATTCCCAGTTTGGATCAGAATTCCCGGTTTTCCCTCGGTGAATTCCCAGTTTGGATCAGAATTCCCAGTTTGGATCAGAATTCCCGGTTTTCCCTCGGTGAATTCCCAAGGAAATCCAGGGAATCTCCTCCCCCCGCTCCCGTTCGGGGCTGAATCCCCAAAATTCCCAAAGATTTTATTTTCCCCTCCTGCTTCCCAAACTTTGGGAATCTCCCGGGAATCCCATCCCAAAAAAACCTCCCAGGGATCCACCCCGGGTTTTTGGGGGATTTTTGGGAATTTTGGGGGATTTTTTGGGAATTTTTTTTGGAATTTTGGGGGATTTTGGGGATTTTTTGGGATTTTTTGGGAAATTTTTGGGGGATTTTTCTGGGATTTTTGGGGGGATTTTTTGGGTATTTTGGGGATTTTTTGGGACTTTTTTTGGGAATTTTGGGGACTTTGGGGGGATTTTTTGGGATTTTTTGGGGATGTTTTGGGAATTTTTTTTTATTTTTGGGAATTTTCGGGATTTTCTGGGGATTTTTTTGGGAATTTCGGGGATTTTTTGGGGATTTTTGGGAATTTGGGGGATTTTTGGGGGATTTTTGAGGGATTTTTGGGATTTTTGGGAATTTTTTGGGATTTTTGGGATTTTTTTGGGGATTTTTGGGGATTTTTTTTGATTTTTGGGAATTTTGGGGGATTTTGGGGGATTTTTTGGGATTTTTGGCGATTTTTGGGAATTTTTTGGGATTTCTGGGGATTTTTTTGGGATTTTTTGGGAATTTTTGGGGATTTTTTTGGGAATTCTGGGTATTTTTTTTGATTCTTGGGATTTTTTGGGGATTTTTTTGGGAATTTTGGGAATTTTTGGGATTTTTGGGATTTTTTTGGGATTTTTTTAGGGATTTTTTGGGATTTTTTTGGGATTTCTGGGGATTTTTTTGGGAATTTTGTGGATTTTGGGGATTTTTGGGAATTTCGGGATTTTTGGGGGATTTTTTTGGGAATTTTGTGGATTTTTGGGAATGTTATCCCGGCGTTTTTCCCGTTCCGTTGGTACTTACCAGGATCTCCCCCTTTGGATGCGCAAAAAAAGGGGGAAAAAGGGAAAAAAAGCGGGAAAAAAGTGGGAAAAAAAGGGAAAAAAGGGAAAAAAAGGGGAAAAAAGGAAAAAAAAGAGAAAAAAGCGGGGAAAAAAGGAAAAAAAGTGGGAAAAAAGTGGGAAAAAAGTGGGAAAAAAGCGGGAAAAAGAGAAAAAAGCGGGAAAAACAGGAAAAAAGTGCGAGAAAAAAAGCGGGAAAAAAGGGAAAAAAGCGGGGAAAAAAGCAGGAAAAAAGGGAAAAAAGCAGGAAAAAAGCAGGAAAAAAGGGAAAAAAGCAGGAAAAAAGCAGGAAAAAAGCGGGAAAAAGGCGGGAAAAAGGCGGGAAAAAAGGGGAAAAAGTGGGAAAAAGGCGGGAAAAAAGGGAAAAAAGCGGGAAAAAAGTGGGAAAAAAGGGGGGAAAAAAAGCGGGAAAAAAGGGGAAAAAGGGAAAAAAGTGGGGAAGAAAGGGGGAAAAAAGGGGGAAAAAAGGGGGAAAAAAGGGGAAAAAGTGGGAAAAAAATTGGGAAAAAAACGGGAGAAAAGCGGGCAAAAAGGGGAAAAAAGGGGGGAAAAGCGGGGAAAAAAGCAGGAAAAATGCGGGAAAAAAAGCGGGGAAAAAAGGGAAAAAAACGGGAAAAAGCGGGGGAAAAAGTGCGAAAAAAGTGGGGAAAAAAAGGGAAAAAAGCGGGAAAAAAAGCAGGAGAAAAACAGGAAAAAAGGGAAAAAAGCGGGGAAAAAGCAGGAAAAAAAAGGGAAAAAAGCGGGAAAAAAAGTGCGAAAAAAGCGGGAAAAAAGCGAGGAAAAAGGAAAAAAGTGGGAAAAAAGGGAAAAAAGGGAAAAAAGGGAAAAAAGGGGGAAAAAAGCGGGAAAAAAGGGGGAAAAAGGGAAATAAAGCCGGAAAAGAGCGGGAGAAAAGTGGGAAAAAAGCGGGAAAAAAGTGCGAAAAAAGTGGGGAAAAAAGGGAAAAAAGCGGGAAAAAAAGGAAAAAAAGGGAAAAAAGGGGGAAAATGGGAAAAAAGGGGAAAAAGAAGGAAAAAAGCAGGAAAAAAGGGGAAAAAAAGGGAAAAAAGCGGGAAAAAAAGGGAAAAAAGGGAAAAAAGCGGGAAAAAAGGGAAAAAAGCGGGAAAAAAGTGCAAGAAAAGTGGGGGAAAAAAAAGGAAAAAAGGAAAAAAGGGGAAAAACGGGAAAAAAGGAGAAAAAATGGGAAAAAAGGGAAAAAAGCGGGAAAAAAGGAAAAAAGCGGGAAAAAAGCAGGGAAAAAAGGGGAAAAACCAGGAAAAAAGGGGAAAAAGTGGGAAAAAAGCGGGGAAGAAGTGGAAAAAAGTGGGAAAAAGCAGGAAAAAAGCAAGGAAAAAGGGAAAAAAGCGGGAAAAAAGCCGGAAAAAGACGGGAAAAAAGGGGAAAAAGTGGGAAAAAAGGGAAAAAAGTGGGAAAAAAGCAGGAAAAAAGCGAGGAAAAAAGGGAAAAAAGCGGGAAAAAAGCGGGAAAAAAGTGGGAAAAAAGGGAAAAAAGGGGAAAAAGTGGGAAAAAAGCAGGAAAAAAGTGAGGAAAAAAGGGAAAAAAGCGGGAAAAAAGCGGGGAAAAAGCGGGAAAAACAGGAAAAAGCAGGGAAAAAGTGCGAAAAAAGCGGGAAAAAAGCAGGGGAAAAGGAAAAAAGCGGGAAAAAAGTGGGAAAAAAACGGGAAAAAAGCGAGGAAAAAAGGAAAAAAATCAGGAAAAAAAGCGGGAAAAAGGCGGGAAAATAGTGGGAAAAAAGCGGGAAAAAAACAGGAAAAAAGTGGGAAAAAAGGGAAAAAAAGCGGGGAAAAAAGTGCGAAAAAAGCGGGAAAAAAGGAAAAAAGCGGGAAAAAAGCGAGGAAAGTGGGAAAAAAGAGAGAAAAAAGCGGGAAAAAGGGAAAAAATCGGGAAAAAAAGTGGGAAAAAAGCGGGAAAAAAGCGGGAAAAAAAGGGAAAAAAGGGAAAAAAGTGGGAAAAAAGCGCAAGAAAAGTGGGGAAAAAAAGGGAAAAAAGGGGGAAAACGGGAAAAAAGGAGAAAAAGTGGGAAAAAAGGGAAAAAAGAGGAAAAAAAGTGGGAAAAAAAGGGGAAAAAGCGGGGAAAAAAGCGGGGAAAAAAGGAAAAAAATCGGGAAAAAGTGGGAAAAAAGCAGGAAAAAAGCGAGAAAAAAGCGAGGAAAAAAGGGGAAAAAGCGGGAAAAAAGCAGGAAAAAGGGAAAAAAGTGGGAAAAAAGTGGGAAAAAAGCAGGAAAAAAGCGAGGAAAGTGGGAAAAAAGGGGGAAAAAAGGGGGAAAAAAGCGGGAAAAACGGAAAAAGCGGGAAAAAAGCAGGAAAAAGGGAAAAAGCGGGAAAAAAGCGGGAAAAAAGGGAGGAAAAAGGAAAAAATCGGGAAAAAAGCAGGAAAAAAGCAGGAAAAAAGGGAAAAAAGTGAGGAAAAAGTGTGGAAAAAAGGAAATAAAGAGGGAAAAAAGTGGAAAATGAACAGGAAAAAAAAAGTGGGAAGAGAAAAAGGGAAATGAGAGAAAAACCAGGGGAGAAAAAAAGCGGGAAAACAGCAGAAAAAATTCCCGTTACGAGCGGTTCACGAACGATCCCGGCGTGAATTCCCGAAAAAAAATAAAAAACCCGGGAAAGGAAATTCCCACGGGGAAAAAAAGGTTGGGAATTCCTGGAATTCTTGGGAATTCCCCCCCTC